CGTTTTCCGGAGCTGAGCTCTCATTGGTTGAAATTGATCGGGTCGGTACCACAGATCTAGGTGGTAGGATTAATGGTTTATTAAGTGTAGATACTATTAATTTTACAATTAAGATCATATAAATACTAGTAAACTTAATTAATATATGAGCTTAAAATATTTGGCAGGGATTAACAATAAATAAGATACTAAATTAAAACGGGTGGGCCGGTTATATGTGACAAAATACTATTTGAAAAACATTAAATAAAAACTGAAAATGATCAATTCTTTGAATAAACCCCAAAGAAAACTACGCCAATTATAGTGAATATGGAATTCTTTAAATGAAGGGTGACTTGAAGTTACGTAGATAGTCCATTTTAGAACACGAGCAGAATGAATGAACGCCTGAATTTAGTAGAATTTATGATTGAAAAAGAGTATTATTTCTTTTTAAACATTTTGAAAGAATTTATCACTAAGTGTTAGAAATGAGCCAAGTGTTAGTTTTGGAACTAATTTCCCGTGTAATATTTCAAACTTAAAAACTTGTATTTTTTGCATTGTTCTGATATTTTTAATAAAAAGTTATTAAAAAATTTAAATAAACAAATTACTCTCTTACTAATTCTTTGATTACTTTATAACACTATTCTACTTTGAAAGGGTTTAATTTGGTTCTGGTATTCGATTTTTCAGAATATAGATATAATCTTTATTCAGTAGAAGTTCATTTTGGTTTCTGTTCAAAACATTTGAATGGTTTATTTACGGTTGGATAAATTATTTTGAATAATTTTTAAAACTCGTTGAGACTTTGCCAAAAAATATAATTACCTAGCACTATATTTAAAGAGATTGTTCGTGAAATTAAAAGGAAATCTTTAATTACAACAACCATTAAAAAAGAAATCAAGAAATCCCGGCCATTTTTCAAATCCCAATATTTTTGCAATCCAATGTCGTAGACCTTAGATATTTTAAACGCTGAATTCTGTAAGATAAAATAATCTAAGTTTACACCATCAGGTTGCACAGATATGTGGATTAGAAAATTTAAGTTAGTGGCAAAAAAAATCAATTCCTTTGTAGTAATTTAGTTTACGGAAAGTGGTAAACTTGACTATATTGGGGAAAGGCATTTAGAATATCAAGATATAAAATTCAAAAATAAACAAAAAGTAGAAGAAAAGAAAAAGAAAAAGAAAAAGAAAAAAACGGATAAACAAAGTAATTTTTAATTAAGTCTTTGGGTCTCATATCAACAACGTGCTTTGTTTGCCAAAACAATGTAGCACTCATTCGAATGTAACTAATGGAGAAACGCAATTGAAAATTAAGCAATAATGCAAACGCAGTGTGGAGGACGAACATCAAATACACACCGTTGAGGACGCACATCAAATACACAACGTTGAGGACACAACATTTATGGATTGAGGATGCACAATAAACGACGCATATATTGAGGGCACACAATTGAGGACACATTTAGGACGAACTTTTAAGAAAGCGCTTATTAGGACTTATTAGGAGTAAGGACGCCATGTTGAGGTCACACTATTGAAGCAAGGAATTAACTTGTAGAATTTATTTATTTTACATATTCTCTTTTTCGTTGAGAGCTTTGAAGTGTAAATTATCTGTTACGGCGAGTAGTCTCCTTCTCCTCCTTCATGTACACCTGTCTATCCTTTTCTTTATCCGCTCTGCTCTAGTAGCCATATCTTCCTCTCTGCTCCACTAGGCCGTATCTTTCTTTACGCTTCTTTCCATTTCCATATCCGTCCTTCCCGGGGAGCGGGGAGGACGGAGGGGGGGGGGGTATAAACAAAAAAGGTTCTTCTTTATTCATATTCAAAATGTGGTGCACGTTTGTATTAAAGAACTGAAATATTTTGAACACGAAAGAATAAGAGAGGATAGAGAGTTTATAAAGAACTGCAAAAAAAAACACAAAAGAAAAAATTTCAGAAAATGTTCTCGAAAATCGTAATATATTATAAATTATATTTTTGAAGATACTTTTATTTCCCTCCGATATTTCTGCAAAAAGAAAATTTTACAAATGAAAATTAGAAAGATTAACGATTTATAACTGCACAGTGCACATATTCGTAAAAAAAAAACATTATTGAAAGCCTCATTAAATGTCAGTTTTAAGCATTTTTAAATGAGATTTAGAGCATATCTCGAAATTAAGTATTACTTCAAGTTGATGGATAAAATGATAATAATAAAAAAACTGAATTGAACAAAATCACAAAGAGAAACCATTTATTTTCATGCGAAAGTAGTTTGATAAACAAAAGGGACTGTAGACATATTTTCTCGTGACCCACCATTTATTTGATTTACAACAGAACCCATAAAAGTCCTGTCCGACCTGTGAAAAGTGACTTGCGGATAAATTTCAGAAAAAATGAAAAAATGTTAGAATTTAACACTTTTTAAGCAGGAAAATGACGATATAGCTTCAACATTTTTACCAGAGAAACCGGTACAAGTTACAGTACAGTACAGTACAGTACAGTACAGAACAGTACAGTACAGTACAGTACAGTACAGTACAGTACAGTACAGTACAGTACAGTACAGTACAGTACAGTACAGTACAGATGTGAATTGGGAAAGAGGTGATCACTTGAAATTGCAAGGCCAGACTTATTCCTACATTTTAAAGATAAAAAATCTTTATTTAAAATGATTATTAAGAATGGACCTACACCCTGTACAAATAAAAAGAATGAAAAGAGAATTGAAGATGATTAAAGATAGAACCGATATTTGGTGAGAATACCCGATCCTAATCCGTCCCTGGTCGGAACCTTTCTCCGGGTCTAGAACAGTATACAAGTGTCAAATTAGTTGAGTTCTCTCACTCCAGGATACCCAGACAGTAAGGTATGTATTGAGGCGCCAGACTGGTCAAAATCCACCTGTATACACCCCCCCCCTCCCTGAAACCATACACCCCCCTCCTCCCCCACAAGATTCAGAGGAAGGGAGCAAGACTTATGTGATAAAAACCATTCTCTCCTTCTTGATTTTTATGTCACCTCTCACTGTAAGCGTAATTTCATTCCTTGCAATGATGACAATGCCCGATTCACAACGGTACCCTTGAAACCTTTATCTGATTTATAATTGTCATTTGTCTAGGTTCAAAGTTTTTATTTCTATTTGTTTTCCAGCACTGGAAATACGCGTGTCACTTTTGTAAAGAATACACATTGAAAATAATCAGTTTTCAAAATTATAAACATAGATATCTATTTCATTATTGATCAGACAAAGCTTTCAACAGAAGAATTATCCAGTATACCCTGAGTAAGGTTTACTCCGTGGTCTCCAGTATACCCTGAGTAAGGTTTACTCCGTGGTCTCCAGTATACCCTAAGTAAGGTTTACTCCGTGGTGTCCAGTGTACCCTGAGTAAGGTTTATTCCGTGGTGTTCAGTTTACCCTGAGTAAGGTTTACTCCGTGGTGTCCAGTTTACCCTGAGTAAGGTTTACTCCGTGGTGTCCAGTATACCCTGAGTCTAGTTATGAATGTATCCTGGAGATGAATGGGGTTCAGGTGTGCTCCAGACAACCTGTCTCCTCTCTCCCAACCCTCCGTCCTTCGGCACCCTTTCAAATTACAAAAGTGTCAAATTGCACCCCTTCCTCCTCCCTTCCTCCTAAAGTCCAGTGTCCAGTACTAAGTCAAATCATAACATCAATAATTGCGATGGATATTATAAAGTTTTAAAATTACTTTCCAAAATCCTCAACTTATCTAGTTGTCTAAACTTTAGACACTTTGAACCGCAGTATCGGTTTCACGAATGGGGTACGGGGATTTCAATATTTTTGTTATAAAATATCATTTTATTTGGTTTTTTTATTTTCTCCATTTTTTCAAATTTCTTAATTAAAAATCTACAATAATGTTTAGAACCAAAAAATAAAACTTGGTAGTTTCGTTAAACAATATAAACTCTCGTAAGTTTCGGTCTCTGGCCTGGGAAAAAAACGACACACTATCCTAATTTTATTTTTTGGGCAGTTTTAACTTTAGGGACTAGCAAGGTCGAAATCCTTTGGGGTTCTTTAATTTGATTTTCAGTCGCGTTTAGGTGTTTAGGTCCATAATTCAACAATCGCGTTTAGGTCTATAATTCAACAATCGCGTTTAGCTCTATAATTCAATAATCGCGTTTTGGTCTATAATTCAACAATATTGTTTAGGTTTATAATTTAACAATCGCGTTTAGGTCTATCATTCAACAATCGTGAAACTTTTTCATTTTTCATCAGCAGACAATAAAGTACGTTGGTAGGTAAATATATAAACACTAGAAATTCAAGGCGCTTCGCGCCCTTCTTTCTAGGCTTTTAGGGTGCTTCGCGCCCATCTTCTATTTAAATTGTGAACATTTTCTTTTTGTTTACATTTAAAAACAAAAAGAAGAAAAAAATTTTGTGGATTTAAAAAAAAAATTCGCGGATTTTCAAGAATTTAAATTTTTTTACAAAATTAAAAACCTTTAAAACACTAATTTTTATCATTCATAAACCTTCCCTCGGATAACGCGAGGTGCCACAAAAAATTTGGGCCCGATCGGTTCAGCCATTTTGACGTTTATTGGATACAAACAAACAAACAGACAAACAGACAAGCCAAATTTATGTATAGATAATGAAGACGACTTTTATATTTAAATTTTTATTGTTAACAAGCTTTTTTCGAATTACAAGTTTAAAATATAATTCAAGAGAAACTTTTTAAATTTTAAATTTCTTGTGTATCCATGCATGCTAAAAGCTTGATATAAATAAAGTTTGATAGCGAAGTCGTCTTCATTGTATTGATATAATCGCCTAGGACCGTATTAAAGAGAAGAAGAGTAAATGTATGTTTAATTGCTCAAATTGTCTTCAAAAGTCACAGCACAGCTTGCTGAGATAAAAACCGATAATTACATATTAGATATTAAATTAGAGATTCCTGAATTAGGTCCGGTCCAAGGTTATTTTTCTCTCGAACAATCCGTGTACAGTGGTACCCAGAAAACAGTGGAATAATTGGCGTCTTTTTGTTTTAAATTCCAATTTTTGTGGAATGGGTTTTTGTACTTTGGGTTTTACAAGAAAAGGTTCAATTATTTTTTAGCTTGTCTTACACGTACTTCAAAATACACCTTTTTTGCAGGAATGATTAAGTTTTATTCAATATTTAAAGCATACAAATTTTAATAAATTTAGAATTTTGAGAAATTTTGTTTAAAAATTGCTCCATAGTTTGCTGTTTATGGAGCTAGTTGTCCAAGAGCAACCAGCTCCATAGTTTGCAGTTTATGGAGTTAGTTGTTCAAGAACATTTTGCTCCAAAGTTTGCAATTTATGGAGCTAGTTGTTCAAGAACTACCTACACCATAGTTTTCAGTTTATGGAGCTAGTTGTTCAAGAACGACCTACACCATAGTTTGCATTTTATGGAGCTAGTTGTTCAAGAACTGCCTACTCCATAATTTGGAGTTTATGGAGGTAGTTGTTCACGAACTACCTACTCCATAGTTTGCAGTTTATGGAGGTAGTTGTTTAAGAACTACCTACTCCATAGTTTGCAGTTTATGGAGGTAGTTGTTCAAGAACTACCTACTCCATAGTTTGCAGTTTATGGAGCTAGTTGTTAAAGAACTACCTTCTCAATAGTTTGCAGTTTATGGAGCAAGTTCTAGTGGTTCAAGATCAATCAGATCACCTATGATGAACCTAGATGTCCAGCAAAAACAGTCTTTGGTCTCACATGTTCCCGAAACTTGCCATCCTTTTCCTGGAGACGTAGGAGAACATTTTCCTCCTTTGAGGTCACACACACGGCTCCTGGAGAAAACTTAGTTATTAAAGAGACCCTTCATTTGAAGAGACATGCCAGTTTGATTCACAACGATACCCTTTCAACTTCTATATGATTAACAAAAAAAAAATATTTTCATCTTTTAAAAAGCAAAACCCCATAGAGTTAATAAAATATATTCTTACGTGCATGGAGTTACAGTATTTTTCCAACAGTATCCACAGCCGACCTCGGCTCCTCCGGATATTCCGACACATTTGTCAATAATCTGATATCCAGGCTTAGGTTGGGTATCAGAGCACATTCCTCCTTTCATCTACACAAATAAAAATGGTTAAACTAAAAGGTTTTGGAATCTATCCTACCACTGACAACAAAACATAAGTTACAGTTGCAAAAAAATAATTATGTATTAACCTCTTTTCACCCCTCCCCCCCGCACAGTGGGGTATTTTAGGAAGTGTTTGGGGGGGGGCTGGTTTTTGCATTTGTCTTGTGTTTCATGGTGAGAATGGACAAAATGAATATATTCTGATAATCTTTTCATTTACATTGTATCTATTGTAGCTAGCATTGTATAATGATTTTAATTTATAATTACTTTTCCCATTAATATATTTATCCTTAAATGGATCCTGTAAACCCGCAATTTATTTAGATGTCGTCTTTGTTACAGAGAGAAATTTCGGAAAAAACATAATTTTATAGAAAAAACACAAAAAAGCACAGTGGTTTCGGGATAATCTAAATGAATAGATAGATTCTAACAGCCATAAAAAAAACAGATTTAGGGGCGTCAGCAGCACGCCAACAGAGTAGCGTGTTGAAAAATCCTGATTTAAGAGTTTTCAATAAAATAGCGGGTTTTCGGTCAAAATTCTTAACTAAAATATTACATTTAAACAACTTAAACCTCTCTAAATAAACAAATTCTTAAGCGGCTAAGCCTTATTTGACATAAGAGGTTTATGGAATAAATTCATTTTGGGTGACCCTCCCCTAATACCCCACTGTGCCCCACCCCCTTCTATTTTAAAAGCACTCCCTTCAATCAATGAAGAAAGTCACCTTACAGGGATCTTCACATGGCACATCTACCAGGTCAGGATATTTCCAACAGTATCCACAGTAGGTCTTAGCTCCATCCATATATCCGACACATTTGTAGCAAACTAAATCTTTGTTTTGACCCACTTTCACTTGTCAGATTTTGAAAAAATTTAGCTTTTTGGAAAGCCTATGACATAAGGAAACGGATTGCACAAGTTTTGCGAAAAAAAATTGCAAATTTTTTGCAAACAACCTGTCAAAGGAAATTTGCACATTTTTAGTTTTTCTTGATTAAAAATCAGGTTATTTAAAATTTTGCAAAAATGTTTGCATATTTGAAATGGCATGGTCAAGGGCTTTTCAAAAATGTATAATTTTTCATTTTTTGGACAAATTTTTTTTTGCAAACATTTTTACTATAAAACTGGATTTTGCGATAAAAAATTCAATTTTCGCAAATTTGCAAATTTGTTTGCAGATTCTAAAAGTAGAGCACAAGAGCTTTCTAATGATGTATCATTTGTCATATTTGGACATAAAACATGGGATTTAGAGGGGGGGGGGGCAAATTGACCCCCCCCCAGCGTATTCTGGTTTTCAAGTACCCCAGCGGGGATAGGGTTAAGGAAATCTTCCTAATTTCAAAGCGCAATTTCACAAATAAGGAAATCTTCCTAATTTAGAAGCGCAATTTGACAAATAAGGATATATTTCTAATTTCGAAGCGCAATTTCACAAATAAGGAAATCTTCCTAATTTTGAAGCACAATTTCACAAATAAGAAAATCTTCCTAATTTTGAAGCACAATTTCAAATGATCCTATATGCAAAGATGACAATGCCCGAATTACAACAGTACCCTTAAAAGCTCTGTCTGATCAAATATGAAATAGATATTTATATGTTTATTTTCATTTGCGGTTCCTCTGCAAAAGTGTCTTGCGCGCATTTCTTGCTTATAAAAAGCAATGGAGAAACTCACAGAAATAAACACAAAAAAGAGTCATGGAAGATAGTAGCAGCATATTTCTCCGGCTCCGGTCCACCGGAGGAGACATTGAATTACCGGAGTTTGAAAAATGGACACGCAACTCCCAGCGGAGGAGGAAAAAAATAAACCACGCAACCTACCCTTTATTTTGATAATTTAAACCATTAAACTGTTTGATTTATAGGGGGGGGGGGGGTTAGTTATTTGTAAATAATACTACAGTCTACATTTACTCCTGTATTTGGCAAATAAATATAACTACATATAAACCATATATGCTTTGCTACTTTGTTTGTTTGTAACCAATAAACGTAAAAACGGAAGAAATGATCGGGCCCACATTTTTTGCGTGGCCCCAGCGTAGATTACGCAATATGCATGATCAGAATAAAAATGTTTGCTGCAAAATAAGTTTAGAATTTTCAAAATCTACGAAAACAGAATTATTAATTTCGCTTATTTGTAAGGACACATGAAATTATGCTTTCAATCCCTTTATACAGCAAACTAGACAGAAGTAGACCATTCATTTTTCTAAATGTGAATTCTGTTCAAAATGCTCAAATGATCAAACTTTTAAATATTAAAGCTTTGCACCATAAAGCTGCAGAGATATAGGGATTCAATAATTGAATAATTTAAGAAACTAAATGCGAGATGCATTGGTTAGTTCAGGGTATGAGAGTAAATCATCATCTTTCCTATTGATAAAAAATTTTTAAAATCCTCTGATGGGAGGTTGCGTGAATGTTAAATAGCATGTTTTAAAATGTCCTCCGGTGGGAGGTTGCGTGAATATTTCTTACTCCGATGGAGCGGAGCAAAAAAATATGCTGCTACTATCTTCCAGCATTCCACAAAAAACGACATTAATTATAGATCAGAATATGGTTTCAAGGGTACAGTTGTTAATCGGGCATTGTCATGGAGGTTTAATTAAAATTTGCTTGAAATTAAGTCGAATTTAGGGTTTTCATAGGTGTGCTTACCGAATACCGAGTTAGGACGAATCAGTATTTTGTAACAACATTCTAAAATACAATGTTAAACTGTTTATCTTCCTTTATGAAACCTTGGTTGTCGGAATCAGACAGTGGTTTACCCTATTACAGCGTGAGAACGGATAAATATCTGTGTATAGATGCAGGTGTGGAGAACTAGGATAACCTGCACCTGCAACCCGGTCCTTGCAACCCATAAACCCTGCATTCCTCCCATCCTACCATTATATATTCACACAAAAGATTATTATTCAACAGAAAGCTTTGAAACGGAAAATATCTATAGATAGATAGTTGAATAAGATTTTAGGAATTTAATACCGTCCGGCTCCATCTTATTTCTTCATATCATCACTTCTCTTTAATACCGTCCGGTTCCATCTTATTTCTTCATATCATCACTTCTCTTTAATACCGTCCGGTTCCATCTTATTTCTTCATATCATCACTTCTCTTTAATACCGTCCGGTTCCATCTTATTTCTTCATATCATCACTTCTCTTTAATACCGTCCGGTTCCATCTTATTTCTTCATATCATCACTTCTCTTTAATACCGTCCGGTTCCATCTTATTTCTTCATATCATCACTTCTCTTTAATACCGTCCGGTTCCATCTTATTTCTTCATATCATCACTTCTCTTTAATACCGTCCGGTTCCATCTTATTTCTTCATATCATCACTTCTCTTTAATACCGTCCGGTTCCATCTTATTTCTTCATATCATCACTTCTCTTTAATACCGTCCGGTTCCATCTTATTTCTTCATATCATCACTTCTCTTTAATACCGTCCGGTTCCATCTTATTTCTTCATATCATCACTTCTCTTTAATACCGTCTAGAGCAACTTCAACCTTTTCCTTCCTTCCATTTCTTCTTTTAGCATCCCTTTCCTCTTTCCCCTTCCCATTATTCCCCCTTTCTTTTCCTTTCATCCCCCTTCCTTTCATTACCTTTCTTTTCTTCCTCTTTTGTTTCTTCCCCTTTCTTTTCATTCTCTTTCGATTCATTACCTTTCCTTTCTTTCCCAATTTTCTTTCATTCCCTTTCCTTTCATTCCCTTTCTTTGTTTACCTTATTTTCATTTCCTTTTTTTCCTTCCTTTTTTCCCTTTCTTTTCATTCTCTTTCTTTTGATTATCTTTCCGTTCCCTCACTTTTTTCTTTCTTCCTGTCCCTTTCCTTCTTTTTCTCCCTTTCCTTTTCTATCTTCTCCATCCATTTTTTCCTTCTCTTTATTCCTTATTTTTACACCTCTTTCATATTTTCCCTTAAATTTCTCCCTTTCTCTTCCTTTTTCCCCTTACCTTTTTTCCCTTACCATTTTCCCATATCTTTTTCCCTTATAGCTTTTTTCACGTACCTTTTTTCCTCCCCCTGTCATTTCTTCGTCTCACTTCCTTTTCTACTTTTCCCTTGCCTGTTTTTCCCGAGCTTTTATTATACGTAAAAACATTTTTATATTTTTATCAATTGATCTATAGTAATTATGAATCTTGAACCATTTACGATAGGCAAGAGCATAAACAGGGCGAAGCCCCTTCCCTTCATTGGTAAAAAGAAAGAAAAGCCCCCCCCCCCCTTCTCCTAGAATATTCCTGTACACGCTCTAGAATATGCATGGTGAGATACAACGTTGGATACAACCCTAACCTAAGCCGTCTAGTGTGCAGATTGTGAAGACGAATTGAAAAGTCGTCTTCTTTAAACGAACTTTAAAGACCTACACACAGGGGATAAGAATAATAATTAGACTGTCTGAAACTCTTAAATATCACGATCATCATTGAAACTCTTAAACATCACGATCATCATTAAATTGTTAAATTCTTTATAGGCCGTTGACTACAGTAATAACCAGAAAATTCTGAAGTAGGAAGACGACATTATGGCTATTTACTCAACAAGTGTATTTAATGTTGTCTAAAAGCAAATAGTTTTAGTAGACACTTATTATGGGTCTGTTTGAACTGCACATTTGCTGTGTCCCATGCCCATTGGACTATTTCAGGTTTTAAATTAAGTCATAACCTAGAATTGTCTATTTATTCCAGATTTTTCTGGTTCTCACTGTAGCTACCCAGCTATCCAAATTGCGTAAGCTTAACGTAAACCCATATTATTTTGGCTCAAATTACGCAATTAAAACGCAAATTTGCGTAAGACTAGATTTCAAATTAGTGTAAATAATTTTTCTAAAGAAAATATTTTATAACCCAGCTTTAAGTAAAAATATCATGAATTTGTGGAGATGTATATCATTTTATTTCAGGTATACAAATTGCGTAAAAATCAGGCGCGCAACTAGACATTTGATAGTGGAAGGCTAGGGGGAAAGATTTCGCACGATAGCGCGAAAAATTTAGTATATACTACATGGTACCGACATCGAAGTGTTTAGATGTGGGAGATCATATCTTCGCTGTAGTATACTACATCGCAAAGACTTTGCTAATTATAAAGACGAGGCGTTGGAAATTTATCCGACTATTGTGTACGCCAGTACAGCTGTATTTTGACGTCATTGGTTATTTTGGTTGTTTGAGAGTCTAACGATCGACACTAAAACCTTAGTTATTTAACATAATTGTGAATGTTTTGTGCTAAAAAATAACTAAAATTAATTATATTAATTTGTATTTTAAAATTTATTTAATCATTTGTTGGATAGAGGATCGTCTGGTGAATTATAGCTGAATTTTTGATAAAGTTACGCATTTCTTTTGTATTAAAAATAGCCGATAATTGTTCGTGAAAATTTTCAGATGTCGTCAAATATTTTTCCTGAGGTTCTATGGAATGGAATTTTAGGCGATGAAGAAGACCAGAAATTTCAAATATTATAAACGGAAAATAAATTTTTGTAAATGTCGTCTTCTGTTTAATCTTAGGCAAAGAAATGATATCGCATAAATTAATGTATTAAACTTACTCTTCAATTAATTTATGGGGATTTTGTTTCAAAATATCCACCATTGAAGAAAAATTTTTTAAAGTTGATTACAATATAGTTTTGAGGCATGAATTATTGGAGGATTTTAAAAAGGTGGATTAAAGAAACACATTGGTGAAAATAAAACTGGGGAATATAAAGACGACTTTTGAAATCAATTTTT